AATTTAATTTTACCCTAAATCTAGGAATTTTCAGAGAATTTGACACTTTATCAAATTACAGAATTTCACTCTTCTGTTAATTAGAAAAATTGTTGTCGATTTTTATGGTCCCATCTTCATTAGATGTGTGCTTGAGATTCTATTATTCTTAAGCGTTTCTGGAATGTTGTCGAATGGATGTCTGAATTAGGGAACTTATTTTGTCTTAAAAGTATTTTTTTTCATTCCACTTTTGTTTCTTAATTTCCTTTATTCATTGTAACAAATTATTGTTTTATTATTTTGGACAATACATTATTATTACAAAAAAAAAAGGTTTTTAGCATCTTTAATGCTTATTTATACCTGTCAAGTCTCCTGTTTTTTTTTTTAATGAAAACTCCCTGTATTTTATGACTATTTCACGTTCACCCGTATATAGTAAAATTTGTCTGTATTTTTTGAAGAAATTTTTAAAAAAGTTTGTGTTTGCATTGTATTGTTACTGATTGTCAACAAAAAATTGATATTTCGGTTTTCAGAATTATTCATTGTGTATGAAAATTAGGCAACTAGGAAACGAACTGTATGAAAACAGTTCCAAAATATTACAGATATTATGTTAGGGATGTTATGGACATTTTCCCAGTTTCACTTATCTCTTTCTGATAAAAAGCTTGTAAGCTTGCTTTTTATAAAAACTAATTTTTCTGGTAACTGTTATGAACAGAACTTTAATTAAAATTTCCTAGTCCGAGCAAATTAGCTACTTATGTTCGAAATATAAACATGTAAAAATTCTGTAAAATAAAGCTTATTAAAGATTATGAAAACTATTTTGATATTGAGCTCTTATTGTATAAGAAATAATGATTTAAAAAATCTTCTTTAGTCTGAGATTTATGTACATATTTTTATTGCATTAAATGTAGGTGATTATATCATTTCCAATTCTCTTTTTCACTTACATGTTTATGATTGATATATCAAAACTATGCACATAGTCTGAATAATGTTGCTAGTAAAATCTCCATTACTTTATTTCTCCAATGTTGGCAATGTATGCTTATTTTATTGCATTTGCTTTCTTTAAAATTCATTTGCTTTTATAAAAAAATAAAAGCAGAATATTTTTTATGCATCAGCATACTTTATTATTAAGAAGAGAAGAGCATTATTTATTGTTTAGAAGAGACATGAAGCAGATGGCAGCTTTCTCTTTTTTGTGGTAATACTTTACCCCAATGTTTTTCCCTTCGCAATCAATAAATTAGTTCTATTTATTCGTGAATTTTAAGATTAAGAATTGATTTCATCATATCTTGCTTTGTCCCAGGTTTTAATATTTAGGAAAGCGCTTCTTTTAACAAACAATTCTGTTTGGCAATTTATAAGTGTCGTTTTTATTTAATTTGATTTATAAATTGATCTTTTATTTTCTTATTTTCTTTCCTTTGTTATAGTCATCAATTTTGTTTTATATTAGTTAATTTGATGACATTAATAAATCTTTCTTTTATTATAATTTTTTTTAAAATTTAGCTCATTATAATTTTTGTTTAATTTCAATTAACTTATAAATTTTTTTTATTAATTTCAAAATTTTATCATCTTAATTAATATTTTTCTATTTATCCATCTTGTTTATGATTATTTTTCTTTCTTTTTTTTTTTTTGTAAATAAAAGATCTTTACATATTGCATTGTCATTTTTTTTTCTTCCTTCTATTTTTAAGAAAGTTTCTTGACTGAATATGTTTTAATTTAAATTAAATACTGATTATTTGTTCAATGTTTTTAGCAATTTAATATTTTAAAAAATTTTTTTTGATGACTTAATTGAAAAATTGCTCTTTTATTTTATAGCTAAGGATTAAAAGTATTAGGTTATTATCATTTATTTATTTATAAATCTATTTATCCATTACTGATTATTATTTTTCATTTTACTTATTTTATTTTATTTATATATTACACTATTGAGTGAGAAAGCTCAATTGGGAATCAAAATTATAATTATGTTGATACAATATAATTATGATGATACGTAAAGTCAATCTACAAAGGGGAATGAGCTCCTGTTGGTGCAGGCTTACCCTATTTTTTATTCTCTTCTGAACTATTGAAAAGTTTAGATGTCTCCCTATTTTTTAAAAAAAAAATCTCTGAAAAAGGAATATTTGTTAAAAAGTCTTTTTTAATTGAAAGAAAACTTTTTATATCTAAGAATGAACAACTTACTAAAAATGTTTTTATTACCTGAATAAAAATTATATATGCTTAATATTAAAATGTGTTTAGATTTTTTTATAAANGGAATTGACTTTAAAAAAGTTTTTTTTTCTATTACTTGTTTGAAAAAGTTAGCGAATTAAAGATTCGCTAACGCTAAGATTCGCTAAGATAAAGATTCATAACTTCTTTGTGGATAATTAGGAATCAGGCAACCAAGATTCCACTTCATTAACATTAGGAGTTATAATTTGGTGTTGTATTTAATTTGACTAAAATTTAATAAAGTTTAAACTTTTGTCATAGGTTAAATGTAAAGAGTTTTTTTTTTTTTTTTTTGCTGATAATAGTGTATTTATTTTTCGATTTTGAGTTTTATATTTTATTCTTTTAGATAACAAATCAGAAATAATGGAATTCGAAACTCTTAGTGGTACATTGAAAGCTAAACGCCTAAATGATAACAAGATACAAATTGATTTGCCTGCCTATAATTTTACATCAGTAAGTTATTTTTTCTAAACTTATAAGTCTACTGACTAGTTTTCATTTATTTTCATTTTATAGGTCTCAATTTTTAAAGGGTCTTCTTGATTATAAGTGCCATTTTAGTATGTGTCATGTGTATCTTTCAGTTTTTAGCGAAATTGTAAAAATGTCTATAAAAAAATCTAAAAAAAATTTTTTTAAGGGAAGAACATTTATGATAAAGATTATTTTTCTTTCTTTTTTTTATAAATGAAAGATCTTTACATATTGCATTTTCATTGTTTTTTCCTCCTTCTATTTTTAAAAATGTTTGCTGATTGAATATGTTTTAATTTCAATTAAATACACATTATTTGTTCAATATTTTTAGCAATTTAATATTTTTTATAATGTTTTTTTTTTTTTTTTTGATGACTTAGTTGAAAAGTTGTTCTTTTATTTTATTGATTCTTCAGTTCATCCTTCATTTTTTGCTTTTTTCCATAGTCATATTTTTCTTTTTCCATATGTAAGGATGATAATTTATTTATTTTATAGCTAAGGATTAAAAGTATTAGGTTATTATTTTGTATTTATTCATTTCCTTATTTATGAATCTATTTATCCATTACTGATTGTTATTTTTTATTTTACTTTATTTTATTTATATATTACACTATTGAGTGAGAAAGCATAATCGGGAATCAAAGTTATAATTATGATGATGCATAAAGTCAATCTATAAAGGGGAATGAGTTCTCATTGGTGCAGGCTTACCCTATTTTTTATTCTCTTCTGAACTATTAAAAAGTGTAGATGTCTTCCTATGTTTAGCAAAAATAATCTCTAAAAAAGGAATATTTACTGAAAAGTCTTTTTAATTGAAAGAAAACTTTTTATATCTAAGAATGAACAACTTACTAAAAATGTTTTTTTTTTTTGCCTGAATACATGTTTAATATTAGAAATGTGTTTAGAGTTTGAAAAAAAAAATAGTTATCCTTTTGTTGTATGAAAATCTTGCACATTTTTTATTTAGAAATGTTGGCAATTATACCTTGCCACTTACCTTCTTTGTGGATAATTAGCACTCAAACAACCAAGATTCCACTTCATTAATATATCGAATTGTAATTGGGTATTGTATTTAATTTGTCTAAAATTTAATAAAGTTTTAACTTTTGTCACAGGTTAAATTTAAAGAGTTTTTTTTTGCTGTTAATAGTGTATTTATTTATTTAGTTTTATTCCCATAGATAACAAATCAGAAATTTTAGAATTTGAAACTCTTAGTGGTACTTTGAAAGCTAAACGCCTAAATGATAACAAGATACGAATTGATTTGCCTACCTATAATTTTACATCAGTAAGTTATTCTTTCTAAACTAGTCTACTGACTAGTTTACAAAGAATAACATTTATTTTCATCTCATAGGTCTCTACTTTTCCTCTTTTTTTAGAGGTTTTTATTTTTATTTCAAGTGCCCTTTTAGTGTGTGTCATGCATACCTTTCTATTTTTAGCAAAATTTTGAAAATATCTATAAAAAAAATCGAACACAATTTTTTTTAAGGGAAGAGCATGTATAATAAATATTTTGTGTATGTTTTATGTATAAATGTCCAAGCTATAAATCGATGAAGTTTAATTTATTTTATTAATTTGTAAAAATATATTAATTTTATCAAATTTAAAATTTAAATATGTTTTGTGTAACTTTTCCATTTCCTAAAGTGTTTGATAAGGAAATTTTTATGTTTAAAAATAAAACATTGAAAAGTTTTTTTTCCTTCTTTTTTTTAAAGTTTAAATAACTATAAGAATTGAAATATATTTCTATTAAAGTTAATAGGGAAAATGTCTTTCATATAAGTACAAAGTTAAAAGTCATATAAGTAAAACTTTTTTTTTAAATATCATAAATTTTTAATGCTAAAAACGAATTGTAAAAAATACTTACTCAATGTTAAAAAATTGCTTATATGTAATTTTTTTTTTCTTGTAATGTAATTTTTGATGTAACCAGGAGGCTCTGCTCTCCCATCTCTGTGATTGTCAATTTATTCAAGTTGATATTCAAAAATTTTTCAAAGATCAAAGATAACAAAGAGAAAAATGTATAGTTATTATAATTTTTTGCAGGCACATTTCAATAATTTGTTAATTTAATAATTTGTTGTTGTTAGCAAAATGAATGATAGTCTGGATTTGAAAGTAATACTTGAAAAAAGGAAACTTAGGAAAAGTATGCTACAAAAAAAATGAAGTATTTTTATTTCATTGCAATATGTAATGTTTACCTTATATAACAGTTTAAATTTGAAAGAATTTTTATGATTTTTTAAGTAAGATTTTTATATTTTTAAAAATTTTAATATAAATGTTAAGTTATTATATTTAGCAACATCTTGTTCTCTCTCTCTTTTTACTTTCAACACCAACTCAAGTGTGAACATGAAGATCTAAAGAGAGAGAGAGAGAGCAATAAAATTGCCTACAACATGGATAAACAAGTATTATTTAAAGCAAAAAGAATGAAAAAAAAAATTCTTTAGGAAAACATTTAAATTTTTTGAACAAATTGGAATTATGGAAAAAAAAATACAACTTAAGTTCGTAAATAAATTGCCTCTTTCAGCACGTCAAAATTCAATTCTTTAGTTNTGTAAGTCATATAAGTAAAACTTTTTTTTGTTTTTAACCATATAAATGTCATAAATTTTTAATGCTAAAAATGATTGTGAAAAATACTTACTCAATGTGAAAAAATTGCTTATGTGTAATTTTTTCTTGTAATGTAATTTTTTATGTAACCAGGTGGAAATTTAAAATATCACATAGTCTGAAAATAGTTACTGAAATATTTAGGGAAATATCTTATTTGTTTTATTTATTATATTTATTCTAATTTTTATTCCAGGTGAGCCTGCTAGATTTCATTAATAATTATTTTTAAGTCTAATTACTTTGGTTAAAATTTTAAAAATAATTTTCAATTGTTTTGTTAATTTTGATACTTGTATAATCAAATGGAAAAAAAAATGCAACATTTTCAAAAACTTACTGTGTAGTAATTTTTGAAAATGTTGCATTACTGTAAATTTTACTTTGATTGGAATGTGAAACGCATAGAAATGTTTCCTCTGGCTACAATAAAAGCACTACAGTACATTTTTTCAATTCTATTCTCAATTCTATATTGTGTATAGATTTAATATGATTTCTACTAAAACTGCAGGATATTTTGTTGTAGTTTTATTCTTTTTACATGAATATTAACATTACTTTATTTTGTTTAAATTAAAAAATGGATTTAAAAAGGAATGTAAAATTACATACCTGCCAAGTATCCTGTGTTTTTTTTTACGAAGACTCCTGTATTTTTCGACTATCTCCTGTTTACATCTATATTCGCAAATTGGTTGAAGAAATTAAAAAAAAAAATTGGCAATGAAATATCCACTGATGGCAAAGATATTGGCTCTTCTTCCTCAACAGCTATTGCCAGTCATGCGCTATTCTTATAGTTAATAATTTAAGTACCCCTTGCAATCAGGCTAACGGTGGGAAGTTTTCGTGGTTTTTCTCTCCTTGTAATGCAAATGCAGGCTAGTTCCAACAGAAAATACTCAATGAAGGCTAATTTCTCCCTATACTTGATTGATCAAGGAATTCCCTTGTCTTCTGAAATAAGTTCAAATTTGCAAGGCTACAGAGTTGAACATTAGTAGCCGTAAACCCAAAATTGGATTGGCTCATTAACAATGGTTATAAAATAGTTTTAAGTAATTATAAATAGTAGTTTAAAAAAAGTATTTAGATTAAGAGATTCTTCTTAATTTATATTCTTTAGATTTAGATTGCTTTCTTTAGAGATCTTCTTTAGATTTTGATCAAGATTTACATATTTTTAACTTCGCTAAATATAAGTGCTTATGTTATTTCCAATTTTAAATTTCTCTTTCTGACTTACCAAATTATGCATGATGTATCAAAACTTTATGCGTAGCCTAAAAAATGTCTCTCGTAAAATCTCCGTTATTTTATTTCTCCAATGTTAGCAGGTATGAAATGACATATTATTATGTCAACATATATTTATTTCAAAATATTTTCTTCAAATGGTTTTGATATTTTTTAATGTTATAAATTTTTATTATTGTTTATTTTAGGTGAAAGGGAAGTTTGATAAATTAGTTAATGTAATTCAAACATTTATTTAATTTGCTCATGAATTGCTCTATGAATTGTATTGTATTATTTATATTAATTTTATTTCATTTTCAGGCTGTTGTCGGCTCATTACCAGTTGAAGATGTTGTTTTATCGGAATCTTAAAAACTATTGATTAGAATGTGTAATGGGAATCTTAAAAACTATTGATTAGAAATGTGTAATGAAATTAATAAGTATTGTTTAATTACTACTCCATTATGTCATTAATTATATTTATTTTAAGGTATTGCCTTTATTGCTGTTATTTTTCCATTGGTTTTGTAAACAGTTTATTTTACTTGTACTATTTTATATTTAATGATGCATGTGATTTTCCGTTAAATCGCGGACTTCCACAAATCCTGCTAATCTGAAATTTAAATTTTGTTACAATGCTGATTCTCATAATGAGGATTGAATTCAGTCCCTCATTTAATATATATTTCCATTTTATTTTTTTCTTGAATTAAAGTTTTCAAAAAAAATTTGTTTTTTTAAACGAAAATTTGAAAACTATTTTTAGATAAAATATATTTTAAAAAATTACTTTTTTTTTTGAAGAATAGTGTTATTTTTATATTGAGTGTTATTGACTGAACTTGTGTAAATAAAATTTGCATTGTTAAATCAGGATCTGCTTGAGTTTAAATTGTTTTTCTCGATATTTTGAGATGCTTAGTTAAATTAAAATGATTTTTTAATACATTATCTGGGAGCAACTTTAATGATGCAGTGAAAAATAGAGGTATGAATGGCTCCAGGAAAGAGTCAGAAATTTAGCACTTGGCGTGAAGAGATATAAAAAGTGTAGCTGTTATTTTTGGTATGTTTGCTTTAAAAATTAAATCAATAAAATAGAGAAGGAAAAATAATCAACTCAATGATATAATAAATCGACCACTCTCATGATAAGTGAAGGCTTTTTTAAATATTCTGTTCAATAACAGACTGTGTTAATTGGTCAAAAAATAAGTTCAGTCTTGAAAGTTTTTCAGAGTGGCATCCATGAATATTATTTATTGCAATACTTGAATCACACAACATACATTTAATTAACCCCTTCTTAAAGGGAATCGGTTCATTTCACAGCTTTTAAAATCCTTTTTTTCTTTCTCTCTTTCTTTTAATGCCGTGGCGACTCATGAAATATGAAAAGGAAGTAATTATATAATTTTTTCAATATCTATATTCTTTTCTGTGTTCATAAGAAAAAAATATTGTATAAAAATTTTTATATCTCTTTAAATTTTGTGAATGTTACTTTTGTGCATTAAAATTACCATCTTTTAAATATCTTCTGTGTACAGTGCGCAAAAAAAGATATCACGCTAAATAACTTTCGTTCTAATGATCAAATTTTCATTTTTTAAGTGTCAATCTAAATGGTGACCTCAAATATGCTAATTATTAAGTGCTAATCATTAATTAAGTTGAGAAATTAAACAGAAATATGTATTTTCTCTGCATTAACATATATGTTTTTGTGCATCTTTTCATTCTTAACCTTCCAAATATAGGGGGTAACTGCAATCTGGCAGGGTTGTCACTCCACAGTAAGAACAGGGAAAACCTGGAAAATACAGGAAATTTAAGAATCACCTAAAATAACAGGGAATTTTTCTTTTTTCTTTACAAACTGGGAAAATATGAGGAATTTTGTTTCTTATTTTTATCTATTAAAAAATAGTGACCACTCAAAGCGTAATGTATGGGATATTTAACCATGATATTTCAGCTATACTAAACTATTTCATTTACTAAAGCATTATTTAAGTATGCTCAGCTGTTTTTCCAGCCATTAAAACTAATAAATGTGGTTCGCCTAATATAGCTCACACAAGAGCACAGTAATTGTGTTTCCTCTTAATATATTGTGTATATGTACAGGGAAAACACAGGAAATTTTTATTTCCTGATTTGAGTGGCAACCCTCTCTGGAAAATATGGTCCCCATAATTTGATCAGGAGAGCGTTCCAAAGTTTCGACTCTTTAATGTTAATTTCACTTTTTGTGTTTTTAATCATATTTTCAAAAATACTTAGGAAAATTTTTAAAAAAAATTGCACCTACTCATAAAACCTGTTTACTCAAACATAATTCCATGCAAAAAAATATTTATAATCTATTATTTTTTCTTATTTAATTGTAGATGAAAAATTTTTTAATTGTGTGGTATGAATTTTTTTATACCATATTAATATATTTTTTCAAGAAAAATAAAATAAGGATCAAATTATTAAAGTGAAAATTTTGATATCAATATTTTTAAAAAGTAGTTCTATTAAGCAATTTTCATAGAATCTTAAGAAAAATTACAATTTACTAATGTTCTACAAATTCAGAAAAAAGCATTCTGAAAATACTTATTTTGATATTCTCTGTAATTTTTATGATTCTGTTATAATTTACTGTTGTACTTAAATTTTCAGGCAAGAGTTTGAATCAGTCAAAAAAAATGAAAATGAATTATTATCTACATCTTCAGAGGTAGTTGGCGTGATAGTGACTGGCAAGAGACAAATTCGATTGCAAAGATGATGCTGGAAATCAGTGTGACTGTATATCCCGTTAGTTTGCACTACTGGTTGGGAGTAGCTGAGGACCCAGTTACTTGTATTTATCTTATCTTAATTATTTGATGTTAAATTTATAATTATGCAAAATGAAATAAAAAGTTGAGATTTTGAAATTTTTGCTTTTTCGGTGGTATATAGCCAGGCCTCAGTTGATTTATTTTTCTTTTAAAATAAATAATCTCAAGAGACAGAAGCTAAAAAATATATTTCATAGTGATAAACAAAAAAATTTATGACCTTTAAATATGAAGTAGGAAAAATTTTAATCGTTTTAGTACTCTTGTTACCAGCCTTTAGATAAATCCGATAAAGTCCCATCTCTGTTTTGTCTCTTGTCGACCGTAATTTTTTTATGTCTTTCACTTTTATTTTTGAATTTCTTTTTTGGACACATAGCATTTATTCCAATAAAAAATTTTTTTGGTTTCCTTATTTAGTCTGGTAGGTCTTGAGAATGGGTGGCTATGTTTTGAGTGCTCAAAATATGTCACCTTTAATACTTTAACAATTTTTAATTGTGTTAGGAGTTAGTCACAATACACTGAATTAAATGTTTGAGAAAGTAAGAGACTTGATGAGAGGCCATCATATAAGGTTGGTTTTTTCTCTAATAGCGTAAATTATTAAATTTTTCGTTAATTTTTGCTGCCAAGGCCCGTTGTTTTCATTTTCAGGTTATTGTTATTTTTAATTGTGTAATATATATTATTGCTTCTATTACGACTTATTATAAAATGAGTAGTCACAGAAGTTATTAAAATGTTTTTTCATTTCCTTTTTTTACGTGCTTTGTTTGTTTCATTTTTGTATGAGTATGCAATGCTGTTTAAGCTTAACCCAGTGTAGTTGATTTTTCCCAATTCCTTTTTTGAAATAATACAAGTGTAAATGTTAAAAATATGTAGATGACAAGTATTAAAAAGAATTCTTTTTGAAGTGAAGGATCTGAGCTCTGGCTATTTAAAGGATAAGAAATTTTAATATTTTATTTATTTGCTTGATCTTTTATATGAGAATTTATCTTTTCATCATAAATTTAAGAGTAATAATTTTTTTCCTGAATTTTTTTTTATAACCC